CAGCCTCCTCACGTGCTGGGATTGCAGGTGTGCACCACCACACCTGGCCTGTGTTCTGAGTTTTTGTGCATATTCTCAAGCAGACATTTGAGGGGAAACTTAAGAGAAACAGCAAAAGACTATTAATTTGGACCTGAGTCTTCATAGATTTAAGTTGTGGGCCTGTGTAGGTTATTTTTGGCTTTAAGTTTTTAAACAGTGTCGTGGAGATACAGTCTCATGCTGTGTATGATTCAGTGGATTTTAGTGTCTTCAGAGTTCTGTAACTTTATCTTACTAGTCAATTTTAGGCTATTTTGATTGCCCTCAACATGAAATTTCATGTAGAACAGCAACACTCCTTTTTTATTTCTAAGCTTCCAAACTCAATAACTAATCTGTTCTTTGTCTGCATAGATTTGCCTATTCTGGACATTTCATAGAAATTAGAATCATACAATATATCGTCTTGTGACTGGCTTCTTTCAGCAGAATGCTTTCAAGATTCATCCATGTTGTTGCACGTGTCAGCTCTTTATTCCTTTTTATTGCCAAATGATAACCCACTGTGTGAGTAAAACACGTTTTACCCATTCATTAATTAATGGGCATTTGGATGGTTTCTCTTTTTTTTGGATATATGAACTATGCTGCTCTGAGCATTTATACAGACTTTTATGTGGACATTTTTATTTCTGTTGGCCGTGCACCTAGGAATAGAATGCTGGGTCATATGTTAATAACTTTTGAGGAACTGCCAGACTTTTCGAGAGCGGCTGCCTCATTTCGCATTTCCACCAGCGGTGTGTGTGTCCAGTGCCTTTGTGTTCTTGCCGGCCCTTGTTTGTGTTTGATTATAGCTGTTCTATGGGATGTGGGTGCCTTCTTATGATTTTAGTTGCCATTTCTTTGGTTGCTTCTCATATTGAACATTTTGTGGGTTGATCAGCCATTTTCTGTATTGTTTTTACCCTTTGTGTGTGTGTGTGTGTGTGTGTGTATTTTTAGTAAGGGTCTAAAGGGTCTTACTATGTAGATCAGACTTGTAGTGATCCACCTGTGTTCAGCCGCCCAAGAGCTGGGATTACAGGTGCTGGCCACCACGCCCAGTCTCCCTGGGATTGAACTCCCGCCGCTTCATCTGCCTCAACAGGCACTTTAATATTCTGAGCTATTTGGCCAGCCCTGCCCATTTTTATTTAGGCTTTTGGTCTTTTATTACTGAGTTTCTGTATTTTTGTTTTTAGTTGTAAATATTCTTTTAACTTTATCTGTAAAGCTTAATGGG